AAACTTGCTTTGATTGACGCAATTAAAGTGACCTATTGACATATCTCATAGCGAACCTTTGCATACGACACATATACGTGCACATACTTGCAAAAGGATCTTAGGTCATCTTTGATTCAATTTGGAGCCTTATCCATTGCTTTTGCGAAATTATATCCCTTGTTAGTCATGTTTGAGCCTTCAATGAATGATTTCTTTTTCAAGAAACTCATATGATAACTGAGCCACAGAAGAATATACTTGACACACCTTGCTATCTAATTTTATTGCACCCTCTCATAAATCAGTATGATACAGAAAAGCAAGAAAAATAGAAAAGACAATGGTGGCTACTGTTTAATGAAAGAAAAGTCGGTGGGAACAACCAAGAAAGAAAAGAAACATAAAAACATGGAATTGCCAAGAAAGTGAAAAATAAGAAAAATGAAAGAAAGAAATAACATTTCTAGGCAAACGATCGAAAAGAAAAAAAAAAGGTGTGCTACACTACATAAGGAAAAGATAGCTTTTAAATACCATTGACGTCACTTCGTTAACCATTGACCTCTGGCCACATTACAACCTACAAAAAGCCCTAAGTGATCTCAAGACTGATGCATGTGTGTGTTGACAACTGAGAGTTGGGCTATGTTAAATAGTATTTCTTTAATTGCATCAATATTCTTCCATGAGATTATGCCAAGAACATGATTAGTCTACTTTCTTAAAACTTTCACTCCTTTTCTAACTGTGCATGTGATTTTTCGATTAGTCATCTTCTGATCACATGCCCTTGAGAGACAAGTCACTATAATTGGAGAGAATTTTTGTTGAGTGCATTCTAAGAGAGGTTTGTGAAATCAAAGCTATCCATGGAAGGTGGTAAAGTGGAATGTTTGTTATATAAAAATTCTTGCTACTAGAATGATCATTTCTACTACACAAGGAATTCCAAATGCAAATGTGACAGATGCTAATTTTTGTATAAAAATAAATACCTATGGAAAAGAAATATATGGGACGTAAGTCGAGATTAAGGGTTGGGTGTCCCAACGACCATGATGCTAACTCACTTTAATCAGCAATCTCACATACACATTTGTTCAATAGAAGTTTGTGGGTAACTTCATTGAAAACCCTCACGAGACAATACTCGTTCACTAGGGCAAACTTAGTGATTCAAAAGCTTGTTTCATATGCTAAATGCAATCAGATGACCTACGAAAAAGGCATTATAAATAGATTTATATTCAATTGTTGTTGTATTACTAGAGACTAGCAATATTTTGGTTGGGGGGTGTGATTAGTAGTTAAATCAGCATATCACTATGCCTTTTTAGGACTAATTTTACTTTGATAGAGTTTAAATGCTGGCATTTTAGGACTTAAATTGTACAAGAGACCAAAGGCAATGAATATCACACTTTCGTGCAACACCAACATATTCTAGAGCAAAATTGGAAAAGCTTGAACCAAGGCAAGAACGTTCGAACTCCAATCAACGTTCAAACATTCTCTTGTATTATTGAAGATCAGACTGCAGGATGCTAAGATATGGCGCGTTGCAGCTGCACTAAGGTACTTGAGTACCACGTTCAAACGCCAAAAAATGTTCAAACGTTCCCCTGAATTATTAAGGACCAGATTGTTGAGTGCACAGTCAAGTTGTACGTGGAGTGTGGATCTAGCTCTCTAAAAAAACACAGGCTACTTGAGTAGGGGGGTTCAGACCCCATCTGGCGTTCGAATGCCTATCAAGTAAAGACAGAAACAACGTTCGAACTCCAGACAACATTCGAACGTTGTCCACAGGCAGACTATAGAGTGGATAACTTTTAGAAGACTTTCGACACCCTATACTATTCCCTCACACTCTCTTGTCCCCCTCCTCCTTACCTATAAATACTCCCCTTGTGGGAGCTTTGAAAAAGGATTTTGGGTATGAAGCTAGTGTTTGGTTTGTAAGCTTAGACTACACCAAGAACTAGTAGAGAGCTTAAAGAAGGCCCAGGCCTCCACTTCTAGTTGCATAATTAGTCTTAGACTTAGGTTTATATTTACTTGCATTAAGGGAGATAGATCATCTTTTGATTGTGGTGGAAACCCTCCAAAAGTGACTAGCTTTCTTCTACTTTCATTTATTGTCTTTCATTTCCATTGCTTAAGCTTCCTTCTTCCCTTAGAGGAGTGAGACACTTCCACTTTTCTAGAGCCTTACCAAAGCCGTGAAGGGTAGAACATAATTCACTCATTCTTTGTCAAAGATCGGCTCCTCGCTTATTGTGTTTTACCTTATAAGTCCTATACTTGGAGGGATGAGCATCACTCATTTTTCTAGATTTACCAAAACCATGAAAAGTGAGTAGTTTCTCATTCACTCTTTAGTAAGAGGTGATGGACATGTATAAATTATCTGGAAGTTATGTTTTGTGCATTTCATTTATGCCTTATTGCTTTATATTACATCTGCTTATTGAATGATTGAATGCATCTAGCAAAGTTAAGGTACTCTGTATAACCATGGATTCTTTCTATGACATCGATGACTCTTGCATAGAAAGATCCAATGTTCCAGGCAAGTACTCCAGCTAGATCTTCATGACTATCTTTCGATTTTTACCATTATTGGACTTTATTTAAAAGATAAAATATTAATGTCATGATTGGATGCCTTGTAGAAACACTTGCTTGTTTGTAGACGGGTTGAGTCTCGGCATAGACAATTCTTGTAAACTTTTAAAAAGTCATTGGAACCATGTGCTTAATTCTTACAATTCACCTTTATCTTTCGATTAACTTGCCGTTGACAAGGGAGTTAATTGAGTTACCAAACACAATTATAATAAACCGGATGATTAACTACATGTTCAGATCCTCAAGCTAAATGGTGATTGTTTACATTTGAATTTATCTTATATTTTGTCTAGAAAACTTCTTGGAAAGAATCTTATATTCTGTTTAGGAAATCTCATAACTTCAAACTCTCAAAGTTTTCAGTTACTTGGTCTCTATCACTGCTTACTTCAAAATATTAATCACAGTTCCCTTTAGATTCACTCTGGACTTAACTAGATTATTATTACAACTTGACCGCCTGCACTTGAGTGTACACATATCGGATCAAGTAAGTATGATTCGTCTAAATTGTAGGAAAAATGGAATGCAAAAAAATAAAGTGAATGGCACAGTGAAACACGGATTAAGTTGCTCTCTTAAAACGATATACATAAAATATAGGTGTTTAATATAGGGTAGACAATGTATCTGGTAGTTGCCAAGAAACCTATGTAGATTTTAGAAATTCGTAACTATTTCACTTGTCCCACCCCTACGCACATGAGAGTCACAAGATCTCACTTTAACTCAAAAGCTAGATAACACTAGCATATGTATATACTCAAATACTTTTAAATATTTATTCGATGTGGGATAGAAGTCCCGCACAAAAAAACACCTTTTTTTCACTATATTCGCAAGATCCTCCTCTCAATCTCTATAGTTTCAAAGAATTGTAGAACAAATGAACAGTTTATTATATTCATTGATAATTTGATAATCATAAATCGCTTGACACATGCATTTTTAATAACATGTATTCTTATAAGCAATATCACACTCAACGAAAATCAATATAAACTGTCAAATTAATTGATCCAAGTTGCTTCTACTAAACATTCAATATATATGATTATGCCACATCCTTCAATGCAAAAAACAAAATTTTGGTGCACACAACTTTTCTCCACTTGAAATTCAAATAGTATTTCGATCTCAATTATTTGAAAAAAATAAAAATTAGTGTATAATACAACACTTAATAGAGCTACAGGGTGCACACACGCAATAAAAAATAGTCATTAAACTAACTTGTTATATATAAATACTAGTTATTGTCTGTGCCTGAAGGCACAGAATAATAAAAAATAATAAACAATAAATATATTTGTATTCATATGCAAAATCAAATTACAAGCATAAATGAGAGATAAATGAATTTAAGCATTGGTCATAGTAGGGGTGAGAGGTAGTGGGCGACAGTGGTAGTGGTAAGAGACGATAATGGTTGTAGTGGGTGGCAATAACTGCGATGGTGATGGCGGCGGCGGCGATAATGATGGTGGTAGTGGTGGTGGCGATGGCGATTGTGGAGCAGGACGTGGCTACGACGGTGGTGGTGATGGTGACAGCGACGGTGACGGTGGTGGCGATGGCGATGGCGATAGTGGTGGTAGTGGTAGCGGTGGTGATAGAGGTAGTGATGGTGGGAGTGGTGGTGGTAGAGGTAGTAGTGTGACGGTTTCAAATGCTATTTTTTTTAAAATACTTATAAGAAATAATATCTAGAAGTATTTTTAAAAAATCACTCCAAACACACTTTTAAGAACCTATTTTTTCTATTAAATTTAGGGTGTTAATATTAACCGTTAGATTAACTTTACAATAAAATTTAAAGCGATCTAAACCGCGAAAAACAAAAATCATTTTGTTTATCTTTTGAAATTTGAATTATAATTTACTTTATTGTATAGATATTTTAAAAAAAAAAACACACTCAAAAACTTAAAAATTGACCACAATTTATTAAAATTGTATAATAATTTTTGTATGCTACCAGACATCAGTTATGCGGGAAAGTCCACAGCAGGGAAAAAAATTATTATTATTTTATCATCGATTATATTTTTTATAATAAAATTATCACTTTGAAAATAGAAATTATAACTGTTTAAAAAAAAAAAAGTCCTGTTACAAATGCTTGTGATTGATCATAAACTCTTGTTATCAATCCCAACATTCCATAATCGATTATACCTTTAAAATTATAATTTCTATGTCAAAAAAATTATAATTTCCTATACGGTACCGCCACCGTTAACCCTTCCCAGTTATGCATAACATATTAGAAAAGTTTCTTCAATTATTTTGTTCATGATTTCTTTTGAAAAAATAATGATTATAATTAATTAGATTAATAAATTAGGTATACCAGGAATATAATCAATCATTAAAGACAAGAAATGGAGAAACGCAGAAGTGGAAAAAGTTGACCAACGAGAAAAGTTGTTGGACTTCTTCTGATCATGAACATTTTAATATGCAAGAGCACAATTGACAATACGCTGCTGCTGCAAATCAACGATCGAAAACAACTATTAGACAAAAACTTTACTTAACAGTTAACATCCACCGTAGATTATTTCTTATAGACCTAATCCCCATCCTTGAACAATACAAGATTGTCAAATTCTTCCATCAAAACGATGGAACGACGCCGTATCCACCATCCACCACGAAATCACTACCCTCAGAGCTGAACTTCCGATCCATCTCCGAGTCAACCTCGATTCGCTTCGCGAATCGGCCCTTGATCCGAGGCCGCGTCTCGGCATAGGCCTTTCGCGATGCGTACCTTATCGTCTTCTCGAACTTCCTGTTCTTCCTCTTCTCTCTGTACCTCATAACCCTAGCTTCCCTGTCCATGCCCACAAGCTGTGAAGCTTGGCTTGTGTTCACTGAACCATTGAGCTCGTAACTGGAACATATTTGTTGACCAAATGGGTATGAGATATCGGACATGGAGCTCCCATCAGGCACTACTCCAACATCCAAGGATGACGAAGAAACCTGAAATAAACATCACATTACATATAATAAGCTCAGACACAACATAGAATGGTTCCATTCTAAGAGAAAAAGGTTAAATGTTTATAGTCCTGATCGTCTGGAGTTTAATTTTTGCCGTGAACAAGCCATATTTGTAGAATTCGTGTCATAATTAGCAAGGTTAATGAAGATCTACTTATTTGCGCGGTTCAAAGGGTTCACTTTCTACCTATATCGATTTTATGTTGATTTTATAGAAGGTAAACTGATAAGAATTGATAGCAAGTCAATACAAGAAATTTTTGCAACGAACCTCTGTATTACATTTTTTTTAGCAATGAACATTTTTGTCGCAAAAAAATGACCCTTTAGACACATTAAATCTCAAAAACTTTTTGAGACGAAAAACGCTGAAAATAAAATTTCTTGTAGAGCCCCAGTTTGGAAGGATGAGCTTGACATATTACTGAGATACTTACACTGTGGCTGAGAGATTGAGCGGCATAGCTGTTTTTGTATGAATTAAGCTTGGATATGGTGAAGTCAATTTCAAAGTGATTTTCCGGTGAGAGATCAATCACTTGCCCTGGGACTATCACTTTTTCCGGGACCGGAAGCTTAATGGATTGAACTGGGACTATGCTATCAGCTCCAGAACCATGATACGGTGCTTGGATTTGTTCAAATCCCATGTTAGTGGACGCCGGATACTCCAAGTCAAGAAAATGATCCGAATCGGATAACAAGAATTCTATGGCTTTCAAGTCTGGACCATCTTCTTGGAGTTTTGAAGTCACTGGATTGGACAGGATCCAGGGTTCTTCAATGGTCAAGCCTCCTGTTTTCGTCTCCGTTATGTAACGCCCCGTGTCAGTTACATCGGTATGGTTACTATTATCACTGCAGCTACGGTTATCTGAAACTATGGTCATGGTGGTTTTCGAGACATCGTCATCGCCAGGGGCGAGGAGGGCTGCAGCGGTGGACTTGACAACAGACTCGGCGGTCTCATAAAAAGGGACCACCGGTAACCGTTCATGACGGCGGGCAAGTGGGTTAGCAGAGTGGATGTCACGGTCGCACGTGACACAGAGCGCGGCTGCGTCGGCCTTACACGTGACAGTAGCTGGAGCTTCCTCACAAACCTCACAAAGCCACACCCTCGCGTGATCACTACGCGCCACCGTGGTATTTGAGCCATGAACCTCAGCATCGCACCCCATGCACATAAACGCCGAGTCAGTCCGGCAGAACAGCAACGCCGCGGCGGACTTGCAGTAATCGCATGGTTTGGCTGCCACACTCCACCCGGACGGAAAGTACTTCCTGGTAGCGCCACCAGTCTCTCTCATTCCCATTTTGTTGGTCTATGACTTGGTTAATAGTTAAACACAAACACAACCCCTCTCTCTAATGACTAGGCGTGTCCTAGTGGTGCAAATTGCAATAGGAGGGGGTCTGTATCTATCTAGCTAAGATTATTGGTGCGTGGGTATGGAAATCTAGTTGTTGACGAATAGAATGATGACACCTGGAGAAGGCTCAGCCACATAAAAGATTTCATGACAAATGGGTCAGATTTTGTGTGTAGTTGTTTTCATGTGTGACAGGTCTGTGCCGACATAGGACCCACGTGAGGGGTGGATGTAATTTGACAGGCTGTTTGAGTAAACTTTGGTGATTTGGACTGTGAAGGGGCAACATGTTAGCACATGATTCATGAGAACTAAAGTCTTCGAGTTTCCTTTTTCACCTAAAATGTGTAGAGGCTGTGATCTACGAGTGGAGTAAATATTGAATACGACGGTAATATTCATACAATCGTTGCTGAATAATATTATTAATTTATTATATAGTATTGTTATATTTATTAAATTTTAGAATTAAATTTGGAGTTCAAATGATATAACAACTAACTTTAACTTTTTTATTTAGTATCATGTCATTTGGACTATAATAAAGACTCAAAATAATATGTTGTTATATCATTTGAGCTCTAAATTTAGTCCCAAAATTTGGTCAATATAGTATTATTCTTTATTATAATAGTATTATATATTTTTTTATAATTAGTTAAAGATTTTATGTGTCAATAACAACGTAATATAATTTTTATATCGAATTTTTTTTTTTTTAGATTTTGAGGAGTCCAAATTTATCTGGGTCAGGCCCAATAAATTAGATTAACTCAAATCAATTAAAAGACATGTCAAGCTCAACTTGAGAATTCAACTCAGTCCAAGATTCAAGGTGTCCAAGAATAATTAAAGCACATGGAAGAGCAATTATCGGAATACTCACTCTTAAAATCAAGGCAACCTTTTATGCAACTTTCCTTTTGTAGCCACTCGAAGAATTAGTATATTTATCCTCACGTCACCGCTTTAACCAAGGCTTTGTGCCTATAAATTATAATTTTCTCTATATAAGAGGACACATTGAACTCTACCTCTACACCTCTCTACACACACATAATTTTTCTCTCTCCTAATTATTGTACATCTCTCGAAGCTAACTATTGTTCGCTCTCCTGTTCACCTTACTTTATCAATAACAGTCCCTCGGCCACCGTTGCTGTTTCTAGGAATGAAGTAGATCATTCAAACCAAACCACTATATATTTGTGTGTTAACTTGATATTTATATTATTGTCATTGATTGCTCTATTAATGTCCATTAAATACACTCTTATGTTCAATAAAGAAGAAAAATAGGAAGGATGAAAAAGTTGATTGATGAACTTTTCTTTCAACTTATCAAAGTCAATCTTAACCCAACTCAAACTCAGAAAAGCTTAATTCTAATCTTTTTATTTTTTGAAAGATTAGAACTATTCAGGACAATTTATGTGTACCTTAATTAATTTTTTTTTTTTTTTACGATCAAATTATCACCAACATCCTTATCAAAACTATTTATATTGCAGCGTACCTTTAGACACAAATTACCCCCAGTTTTATAATATGTCAAGTAATGAGATCTAATAAAGTGCACTCCCAATAATATAATTAGATTATGTCAATAATTTAGGCAAATATTTTAGATTTTAATCGCATTACTCAATTTTAAGAGAGAGAAATTTTTTGCAAATTTGGGGATGGGTGAGTTGGTCTATGTGTTTCAAAAGTTTAAATAAAAATTAGTATTATTAGAATCGGATCGGACCGGTCCGGTCGGTCGAACCGATTCAACCATGACTCGAGAACTTGATCGATCCGGTTCTCTACTTAGACTGCTTAAGGAATAGAATCGGCTCAAAACCGTTAGCTTGGCCGATTTATCGCCAAATCGTGAACCAGTTGATTTTTTAAACCAGACGGTGCAAATTTCACTCGTTATATAAAAAAAAATATCCCTCTTTTTGGGCTATTTTGCCCTAAATTGATTTCATTCCAACTTTGTCTTCACTCCTTCAGCACGACGAATAGCTCTAGGCATGGCGACACAACTCACTGTTGCTTCTCTACCAGATCTTGATTCCTTCTAGATCTAGACCTTCTCCACTCAATCTCTCTTACTCAGTCGATCTAAGTCATCTCTCTCACTCACTCTCTTATGTTCTCCTTGGTTATGTTGATGGTGTTAATTTCTATAATTATTCAAATTTGTGTTATCTGATTGTTCAAAAGGTCTGATTAGAAAAAAAAAAAAAGTAAGATTGTTCAAACTTCAAAGTTTGTCTTTATCTTCTATAATCTTTATCTTTCATATGAATTTGATATTTGGAACATGAGTTTCAAGTTTTGTCTACTTAACTTCATTAATTTTATGGCAAATTGTATAAATTTTAGACATATGTAGTTGAAATATTTTGTTATGTAAATGTTTGTAATTTTTTTTATATTTTTTTATTATATAGTCGGTTCAACCAGTTGACTAAATGATTAAATTAGTGAATCATTGATTCAGTCCCTCTGTAAGTTCGATGGTCGATCCGGTTCTGATAACATTGATAAAAAGTGGTATATTTTATGTTAACTAGTTAAGTGATTGTTGTACTTAAATGAAATTTGTCCATAAAAAATCTTGTCTCGTGGGACTTGGAATCTGAACAGTATGGCTTGGATTGAAATGGGGTTGGTCCCCAAAATCTAAAATCACAGTTCGAGTATTGATTAAATTTAAATTGAATAGATTTTTTCTTGCCCAAGCCCAATAAATTAAAAGTTTCCAGCCAAATATTATTTTTAAAAATATTATAATCAGGGTAGTCCACCTAAGAGCATCTTCAACAACAAATTATATTTTAGCTACCCAAAAAATAACTTTTTCCATTTTAACTGCTCATTTTCTCAATACACACTCCAACAGATTTTTTATATTTTTAACTACTTTTTTTAAATATTATTTCTCATTTCTTTTATATTATTGTTTTTGGGAATAATGAAAGAAATAAAGAGAGAGAATGGAAGAAAGGAGAGGAAGAGAGAGAAAATAATATAAAATATGTTTACAAGTTATTACAACAATATTCTATATTTAAAGTATCATTGTAATAAAAATCTATTTTGGAGTATTTGAAGAGCATCAGTTGGAATATGATGTTTTGTTTTGATTAGCTAAATTTTAGTTATTTTTGTGCTTTAGAGCATCTATTGGAGATGAGATGCTCTAGGTTAGTAATGAAATAGGTAAGAACGTGGTGGTCAATGCAATTGTACTTTAACTTGCTTTAAAAAATTGAGTAAAGTACACAAATGTCTCTAAAATTGTGATCCTTATATCAATTAAGTTATTGAACTTATTTTCGTGTCAATTGGGCTCCTAAACTCTAAAATTTTAGCAATTAAACATTTTGTTAGCAACTGCTAAATTTTTGGACGGAATATTTCACATGCTCACCACATAGATAATAGATTATGAATATTTTAAACTGTTCGTTCGAAATTTGTTTGATGAAGAACCTCATTCCTTACACCCATCAACCGAAACAATAAACATAAATTTTTTTCATAAACATCAAATGAAACAAATCAGCAAGCTCTTTAATCTGGTGTAAAAAATAAATCACATAAATGTAGGCTCTTAAAAAAACTAGTTGATGTACTTCTCATTTGATGGGTATGAAAGAGGTTTGGGTATATAAAGTTTCAATTGATGGGTGTTAGGAATAAGATTTTTCGTCTGATAAGTTTTGAACAAACAATCTAAAATATCCTTAATCCGTTGTCTATTTAACGAGCACGTGAGTTGTTCTATCCAAAATCTTAACAACTGTCGACAAAAAGACTTAATTACTAAAATTTTAGAGTTGAAAAGCTCAATTAGTACGAAAATTAGTTTAGACACTTCATTGCTAAAATTTTCTAGTTTAGTGGCTCTAATTCAAAGAGTTTAGTGGACACTAGGATGATAGTTTAAGGGTGTGTAATCTAAATTTGTAAAAACCTATACCCACGTCATTCAGTGAGTTAGCTGAGAGACAACTTTACTGGCTATAATGTCCTTGAGACCACAAAGTCTTAAATTTATTAATTATATCGACTGAGATAGAGCCGTGTTGAATTTTAAAAGATTTGTGTTAAAAGACACTTTATTTATACATGATATATTTATTAATTTATATTTAATAAATGGTGTCATATCGGGTATCGTGTATAAATAATGTATAACATGTATACAAATCAGGTATGTCATATATTTGTTTTGATTAATTTCACACATAATTAATTCATTTAATAAATCGTATTAAGTCAAGTTCATTTAATTATAAAATAGATGATTTAAAAAAAACTTAAATTTTTTAATTTTATATTATATTTGTACCATATTAAAGAGTTGTATCATATTTTAACACGCTACAGATACTGTTTAGATATTGGGTCAGAAATGAATACAAGTCACTTTCCAGTGTTTGGCAGTGAAACTGGTCGGTCCGCTTCCCGTGTTGCACTGATCGATAGGCAAACCTGTTCACTTGTCTTTATGCATGTAAAGGGGCAGTTTTGGAAACTAGTGGATAACTTGTGGACCCCTCTGTGTCATCGTGATATTCAGCACAGTAGATATGACAGCACATGCTTCGCTAGATTTTGGCCAGAAGACCAGTGACCGAGGTCGTGATGAGTGAGATTTTCTCCCCATAAATAGTCGGTTCAATTTTTAACGAGATACTTTTTTTAGAGTTAAAAATTTAATTTAATTTATTAATTTAATGATATAATTTCAGTAACGTTATTAAATTAATATTAAATTTTAATATTTGATAAAATTTATAATCAATTCAATGATCATAATAAATTAAAAGAGTAAATTAGGTCACAATAATATTACTTATTTTTAATTATTCAAATTATCTCTTGAATTTACTTCAAACAATTTTGAAATCGTTGAATGAAATAGATTAACGATTAATTTTAATGAAATTTGTCACATTCAACAATTAATCGTCTTATTTATAGGTTAATTTTAACGGAAGAGATCAATTCAAAT